TGTCGAGCTTTCGCGTTCCCGTTTGCCGGCCCTGTGAGCGGCCGTGAATCAGTGAGGGGCACACAAAGAGCTCTGGGAGGCACCAGAGACGTGCAGCTCAGAAAAATCCCAGCTGTGCTAATTTTAATTTGGAAAACGGCTGTTAGTAAACAGTTCAACCCAACAGGATCTGAGTGTTAGCCAACTCCCTCTGCCCTCTCCCACGGGAAAGAGGGCTATAAAATAAAACCGACTCATAAAAAGCTGTTCGTCAACCTGTTCCCTGCTCGTGACACAGGCTGGAAAGGGTCCTAGGGGCAGAGCTGGGGGAGAGGAGAAGGTAAGCAGTAAGAAAGGTTGAAATTCAGGGAAGCAGATGACTGCACAGCAGAGGACAAAAAAGCCGTGAGAGGCTCAGCCCGTTCAGAGCCAGTGCATACATTAATCAGGAAGTTTAAAAGTTTGTGATGCTGAGTGATGATTCCCATGTTCCAGAGAAAAGGTGGCAATTGTGTTTTCCATTTCCCTTTCCGTTCCTGGCAGGGTGGCCGTGGGCACACGCGTGTCCCGGGGCTGGGGCTGCGCTGCGGGGCTGATGCTGTGCGAGCCGCCTGCAGCGCTCAGCCCTGCGCTCAGAGCCGCGGCTGTGCCTGGCCAGCTCCGGGTGAAGGATCACAATCCCCTGCCAGCTTCTGCTCCTCTTGTGCAGCAGTGATGTTTGCTTAATGTGCAGCAGCTGCGCCACGGGAAACATGGGCTTAGCTGATTTCTAAGCAGCATTTTAAGTGGGTAGAAACAAGGGGTTTTGTCATTGAATAAGACTGGGGTTGCAGCATTCCAGTACTTTCCAGAAGCTGCGCTTGGATGGCTTGAAATAGTATGTGAAAATGAGTATTTTTAAGGTGCCAATTTAAGATTCATTGAAGTAAATTTGAACTTTTAATTGATTTTCCTGGCCTGCAGTTCGGACTATAAACTACAATGAATTTTTGAAGATCTTCAAAAATAGAAATATTCTAGACTGTTTGGTTTGATTTGGCAAGGCCTGCTCTAAGGCTTTATTAGTTTAAATTCAGGCAAGATCTAGGAAAATTATGCTCATCCAAAGGTTCTTAGGGAAATGAGTCCAAATGTCTCAATTTCTCTACTTAATGGAAAAGCATCAGCCAAAAAAAGAAATGCTTTGCTGAAAATAGAGCCTGAAAAGTTTGTCAGTAGTTAAAGCCTCTTTTACTTCATTTAGAAACTGTTTCTTTGTTTAGAATAGGTCTTCCAAATGAGGTGCAAAAACACTTCCTTCAAAAACATAAAGAAGATGCACATTGTCCTGGCCATGCCTACTCCTTAAGAAGACAGCAGGGTTTAGCAGAGTCCCAAAATATAGAGGTTCTTAATTTACTGAATGGTTAAAGAGAAATAAAGGAAGAGAAGCCTGAGGGAGAGGAAGGGATGGATCTTTCAGTCCACACAGCCACATTATCACATCAGTGTTCCAAATCTGAATTTTTCAGGGTTACACTCTTCTGCCTTTGCTGGAATCTAAAGCCAATATGGATTTGTAGAAATTTTGAACTCAGGTTTCTAAAATAGGATGTTGTCAGTAATATATTGTGGAATGGGCTGTCAAAACCAGCTTTTATTCTTGTATGTAACTTCACCATTTTTAGAGAAATAACATTCCTTGTTCTGCTAAAAGGAGTTTGCTTACCCAGTAGAAGTATGCACAACTTTCCCAAGGTCATCATGTTCCTCCCAGCACTGCATAGGAAGACTCTGCTGTCTTACCTTTTATCTGTCTTACCATAAAGTCACTCACCCCTTGATTACAGAAATTTTGGATTACAGAAATTTTGGATCAGCTCTGACTGCGGAGCTCATCACAAGGTCCCTGGCATTCACTACCTGTGTTGTGCTGATGGTGTCAGCAGACATTTGAAGGAGATTTGAGCACCAAGGGTCATGAAGTAACCTGTATCTCAGGCCCTCTGTGCCTCTCCTGCTCCTGCCAGTGCACATGGGCTGCTGTCAGAACGTTGGTCTGAGGCCTCTGCTTGTACACTGCGTGCTGTGATTACTGCAGAGGTAATTGTACAAAAAGATGTGTCCACTGCAGTACAGCACAGTTTGTCACCTGCAACATGGGTGTCAAGCCCTGGCAAGTCTTGAGGACAAGGACATTTCACAAGATGACCTGTAAGGACAAGGTGCAAAAGAGGCTATTAGTGAAAATAAAATTCTGGTATGGTGGTGATGTACGTGGAAAGCATCTTGTGCTGCTCACCTTTCAAACACTGATGCTGCAACAGAGGGCTTCTTTCCCCTTGCTCCCAATAGTAATTAAAAAAAACCCCAAACCAACAGAGGCTCATACTTAGGAATCTGAGCTTATCTGCAGCTGTTTGCCCATTGCAGGCCCTGTAAATATGGTCAGATGTTTCTGGGTAGTGTTTTTGATAGTTTTTTGGAACAAAAGGACTCTGCTGGCTTTAAGGCATTAATTTAGGCAGATTTTACTATATGTATAGGGAGCATAAACAGTTACTTGCTGTATTCCTTCCTCTGTAAATAAAAATGTATATGCTTTCCTTTAAAAATGTATTTTGTGTGTAAGTCACATAGTGATAACATTAAATGTGGTATAAAGATGGTAATAAAAGTGGTTGTAACATTTATATATTTTTCATGACCAAAGTGCTCTGCAGTGGGAGATGCAATAAACATGTGCTTGCCACTGGAGGAAGCAACAGTCCTGCACTGCAAAGATGTCATCCACATGAGCACAGGCCCCAGTTCTGGGCACAGATCGTGTGGGCAGGCAGCTCTCCAGGACAAAACGAGGGTGAGGCGTCTGCCCCAGCCTGTCACTGCCATGGAAAGGTTGGGTGCCGCTGCTGAGGAAGAGGCCATGGTGGACAGGGTGGCAAATACTGCTGGAATGCAGAGGAGACTCCATGCAGAGCATCTCTCGATGCAGCAGAGGAGGAAGTGCCTGTCCCAGGCCTCCTCCTCCTGTTGTACCTCAGCTCTGTCACTTCTCCCTCTTCTTTCTGCCGCAGAGGCCTCTCCACTTTGAGGTCCTTGTGTTCAGCATCACCCAACCTGCTCAGAAGCGCTGGGTTGTCTGTGGGCACAGCATACTCCCTGAAGAAAAGCACATAAAAACAGCAGGAAAAGGGAAGAACAGGAAAAATGCTGCTCTTGGCACTGTTGTGATGTAACAGGATGAAGCAAATTCCAGGCATGCCGACTGCCCTCTAGCCGTATCTTCTAAAACAGCCACAGCTTGCAGAACTCCACAGCCTTTTTTGGGGACTGTGGGACTTTTTTGGGAGCGTGGCTCATGTCCCTGGCCAGCCTGTGGGGCGGTGCCTTGGCTGTAGCAGGCAGCGTGTGCCAGAGCCGGTGCCACAGCTGCGCTGCCCACTCGCAGTGCAGCCTGTGGGCACGGGAGGCAAGCAAGCGATGAGGCACCTGAGGCTGCAAAGCCTGGCACCAGCGCCCTCATGAAAGCCACACTCTGGCTGGATGGGAAACCAAGAGCATATCCTCCATTAGAGGGCATTCAGCATTTGCAGGGGCACGAATCTGCAAAGTGAATTTTTTTTAATGTCCAGTGACTTTTACAGAAAACATACAATGAATATTAAATAAAGGGCATTGCCTATTAGTGCACTTCAGACACTATTATGTGGTGTGACTTTTTAAAAACTTTTTTTTAAAGGTCATGCTGTTTATGCTGCATAATCTATAATACAATTGCACTGTAAATTAGAGACATGCTTTACAGCCTGCTGCTGTGCTTCATGGAGGTGAACAAAATTTGAAATCACAGGTCTCCTCCCCATGGGGAAACAGTTGTGGGAAATATTTAATATCACAGTAATCAGGGCTTAATGGCCTAGTGATGAGCTATGGAGGCCTCTCTAGGACACCTTGCTGCATCTCCTGCCTGCTCTCTAGTCTCTCTAGAACATTTTTCCATTCTTAACACTGTTAAATTTTATTTTAATTTACTGCTCAGCCCTGACAGGTTTCTCCCCCAGCAGACAAGAGTTGACTTTCTCTGTGTTGAAATGGCTGTAGGACTGTGCAGTTCCTACATACATTAACTCTCTGGAAGGATTAATTATTGTATTCCTTTATAATAGCTTCAAAACTTCAAAAATGCTGTTCTCTTTCTTCTCAGGTAAACTGGGACACAGAAACTGGATTCTGAGGGACATGCAGACTGATTCAAATATCCCCTCAGGACAGCTCTTCAGGGAGCCAGTATCAAAGGTAAGCAAGTGAGTTAAAGCCAAAGATTTTTGATCCTTATTTTAAAAACTTCAACTCACACATTGCTTCAAAGGGCAGAATACACAAAAAGGAGAGGAGCCATGGAGCAGAGAAGCAGACTGCATAAAAGCACTGGAAAGCATTTTGGTCACACTTCACTGTTGAACACATATGTTTGAAAAGGGATGGGAAAACTGTTGAGAAAATACACTCACTGATGCCAGGGTGAAGGAAATGCCAAGTAAAGAAATTAAGCAAATAAACAGGGTTTTGGAGAAGTGTTGAGAGGTGCAGGAAGAGTGTAACACAAGAAGGAAAGAGAAGCAGATTTCTTCCACCCAAGGGTACACGCTGTAAGCCTTGCATGAAATGGAAGTTACAATGGGTTTTTCTTGAAGAATATAATTTCACATTCACAGGTCTCTTACCAGAGACTGTTTTAAGAATAGTATTTGGATTGGAGGGGCTGCACACAGAGGACTGAATTACTAAGCCCTTGTTACTGAACAGGTTTTCAGGGCAACAGCTGCCACCCAGATGGTGTGGGCACTGGGACTCTGAGGGCAGCACTGAGCAGTATCTCTCAAGCCAGTTGTCATAACAAATTTTATTTCAAAGGTAGATCTACACTGAGGTATCATCCTAATAGAGCCTTCTTGGAAGGCTTCATTCCTGGTCCCTGTATTAGTTATAGAATTTGCTAGAACACTCATGCATTATTAATGAGTCAGCAAAAGGAAATGTTTGTGTTTGTAGAACTGATTTTTTAATATAAAGCCATTTCTTGTGTTTAAATAGACTACTGACGTGATCTGCAACATTAAAAATACCTTACAAAAAGCAGAAGAAATGTTTCACACATAGACACAAATTAGAGAATTAAAACAACAGCTTCTTCAAATTCTGTCCTAGAAGAGACAGATAACAAGTTTTTTCAAATGTCAACCAATGAAAAGAAACTTGCTCTAATTTTAAGAAGGATAAAGTATTAAGAAGGATAGAGTATCTTATGGGTGAAAACTCTATGGTATTTCCATAATGACATTCTTGGTCAACACATCTTAAGTTGTATTTAATGTGACTGGTTACTGAGAATGCTCCTAATTATCTGGTACAGCTTAATTTCATGAAAATATTCTATTTTCTACTGAACATTGTTAAAATACAGCAAAAAATCCTTAGAGATTTTTGTGAGGGTTAGCATTACCTCACAAGCACAAGAAAAGAACAAAGTTCTCATTTCTGCTGTATGATAACAACATTTACTCAGCCCACCCAGTGATCTTATACATCAGTGCCCTCAAAAGCCTGGCTTCATAGGTGACTGTGTTTTTCCCATTGTGCATCCCACTGTCTTCCAGAGGTTGCTCAATGACAGCTGGGATGTTTCTTCCATACTGTTCACACTGCTTCAGAAACTGCAGGCACTCCTGGATGGCGCTGTCCCGCAGCATGATCATGTGCTTGGACATGTTCTCCAGCAAGGACAGGAAACACCGCTTAGCGTAGTACCACGTGTCTGTGCTCAGCTTTTTGTTATAGGGCTCCAGGCTTTTAATGATCCTTGAAATACCAAAGTCGTAGTTTCCCTTCACACAGTACAGGGTACCAATGACTAGATTGACAATGCAAAGATGGTAGGTGTTTTTATCAGGGTATTCATAAGACAGCTGCTCTTCTGCCTTCTCAATCTTCCTCATTAGTTCCTCTGCATCCTCATTCTGGCTTGTCAGGATGTAAGAAACACAGAGGTTTGCTAACACAATGGCACTGACATCGAGAATGTTGTCGTAGTGCTTTTTAACTATTGGCTCATAGAAGCTAATAGCCTCTTTATACTTGTTCTCCTGCATGAAGAGCACGTGAGCCACATTGAGCTTCCACACCTCGTGTTCCTTGCAGAACTCCACTGATTTGTGGAAGATCTTTTCTACCATTGTGTAGTTCTTCATGTCCCAGTAAATCTTTGCCTGGGCCATCAAGACAGGTATATATTTATCCAGAATCTCATCATATTCATTAATTGCCTTTTTTATAGCTTCATCATCCCAATTTTGCCTAGCTTCTTGTACCTGTTTTGTGAGTTTTCTCAGCTGCTCAGTCATTGTTCCTGCTGAGTCATCTAGCTTGTGGAAAGCCTCCTCAGGGGCAGTTTGACAAGTAATAATGGCATCCAAGAAGTTGTACAGATAAGGTGTGAGCAGTTTGTACGTCAGATGGGCATTCTCTGCCAGCACATCAGCTGCCAGGTCATAGTATTGATGCTTGCAATAGAGAAGCAGCAAGTTACCAAAAGTTTCTGGCGGACATGGGTTCTGCAGGAGAAGAAACTGCAGCTTCCCAAACCCATCAGTGGGCTGGCTGTCCATGTTCATGAGTGCCTGGTTGTGCAGCGTGACGGGATCCAGCTCCTCCTCGGCCCTCGGTGGCATATCCGTGAGCGCCTCCTGCGCCGCCCGCACGTTGCGCAGCTGGTACTCGATGGCCGCCTTGAGGTTGAAGGCCTCCACCAGGGCCGTGCGGTGCAGGAGCAGCGTGTTGCCCACGCTGCGCACGTCGATGCCCTCGGTGGTCATGCCCACGTTGAGCTCCGGGTGCTGGTGGATGCCGCGCTTGATGATGTCGGATATGTACTTGAGGGCAGCGTGGTACTGCTTGGCCGCGTAGGAACACAGCGCCATGTTGTAGGACAGCTCCGGGCAGTAGCCCAGCACTTGCATGGCGCTGGCAAACTTGCCGCTGG